AGTGTCAGCCCTCAGACGGAAGGGTCCCGGATTCAATTCCGGTCAAGGGCATGTACCTCAGTTACAGGCTTGATCTCTGGCTCTGGTCAGGGCGTGTGCGAGAGGCAATCAAGTAATGTGTCTCTCTCACATCGATGCTTGTCTCTCCCCCTCTTTTCCACTCTCTAAAAATCAATGGAAAAATATCCTCGGGTGAGGATTAACAACAACAACAAAATCAGTGAGGGAAAATTACTTAGGAAGTCAAGCTCATTAAATTATTTGGAAAAACATTAAAGTTGATCCCTATCTCATATTATACACCAAAACACATTTCAAATGTATTAAACATTAAATATAAATAATGAAACCATAAAATTACTAGTAGATAAATAAGCAAACATTTCATTGATTTCATGATCTCAAGATGTCCTTACAGTATAGTACTAATTTCACAACATTTTCTTTTCCAATTATTTAATGCCTATATATTACAGCTCCAGGTTAAAAGCTTGGTTTTTCTAAAACTAAAATATTTGTAAGTAAACACAGTCCTCTGGATACCTAATGAATTTGATACACATATAGCCAAAGAATAGGTTGTAGGAGGATGAGCTGACTGGAGGAAAACCTGCTCTTTCTCTGAACTCTGAGAGCAGTGGCCATCTAAGGCCTGTGGCCACAGACATGCAAATCACATCAAGCCACCAAGAGAAGCACTGGTATTGGAGTAAGGAAGGGTCGATGAGGAACTCTTCGTATCATTGTTGCAAACTTTTATCATGCAGATAATAATTTCTGCTTACAGGGAGGTATTTCAGAATTTAAAAGTGTATCATGTGATCAACATCACTAGTCATTAAGAAAATGCAAATCAAAGCCACGATGAAATACCACTTCACACTAATCAGAATGGCTTTTAAAAAATGGGAAAATAACAAGTGTTAGTGAAGATGTTGAGAAATTGAAATCCTTGTGCGTTGCTGGTGGGAATGTAAAATGGTACAGCTGGCATGGAAAACAGTATAATGGTTCCTCAGAACATTAAACATAGAATTGCCCTATGATTAAGCATTTTCACTCATGGGTATTTACTCAAAGAAACTGAAAGCAGGGACTCAAACAAATACTTGTATACCAATGTTCATAGTAGCCTCATTCACACTAGTGAGAAGGTGGAAACAATCCAAATGCCCATCAACAGATGAAAGGATAAACAAAATGCGGTGTATAGATGTGCAATGGCATATTTATCCAGCCTTAAAAAGGAATGACATTCTGATACATGATATAATATGGATGAAGCTGGAGGACAGTACTCCTAGTAAAACAAGACTGACACAAAAAGACAAATACTGTATGTCTCCACTTATGTGAGTTGTCTAGAATACGCAGATTTATAGAGATAGAAAGCATAACAGAGGTGACCAGGAGCTGGGGGAAGGTGTAGGTGAGGTTGGGAATTTTTTTAAATGGGTGTAGTCTCTGTTTGGGAACGATGAAAAAGTTCTGGAAATGGACAGTGGTGGTGCTTGCACTACCTTATGAATGTCTTTCATGCCACTGAATACACCAAAAGTCTAAATGATAAATTTTGTTATGAATATTTTACCACAATTTAAAAAGCATACCATGGACTATGTGTGTGTATATACATGAGGGTCTACAGAGTAAAGAATGTAATTTTGCCGAAAAGTAGAGAAACCTCATTTATTTAGTCAACAAACATTAAATATATACTTACAAGATATGTCTAGACAATTTAGGCAATGTAATCCTAGAATTTCATAATTGACAAAAATAGACAGAAATCACATAAATATGTATCACTGAAGTCCTATAATTATTATTAAAGAAACACATATGTGATTATTCTGGCCCTGAGCTTTGTAGATTACGTGCCCAAAGGGATCATGAGGCTTCCCAAGGAGCCTTTGGGGACGGTGTGACAGGCCCTCAGTGCCCCTTCATCACTTTTTTTTTTAACTAGGGAGAAGAAAGAAACATCTATGGGAGAGCACAACATTGATTAGCTGTGTCCTGCAAGCCCAGTAGGGATTGAGACCACAACCCGGGCATGTGCCCTGAGAGGAAATGGGACCAGCAACCTTTTGGTGCACAGAATGATGCCCAATCAACTGTGCCACACTGGCCAGGGTGCCCCCACAACACTGTCTTATTTGAGTTGCATCAGAGCTGATGTCTACCACCCAATGGTATTCACTTGGTTCTCAGACAGAATATCGGCCAAATGTTAACAAGATCCTTCTTTGCTACTGTTTAGAGAACATACACTAAAAAGATAGAGAACGATACCTCACATTTGGAAATATGAGATACTGTGAATACTGGAAATATTCATTCTATTAATAATCCCTCATGAACAGTCTATAAAATAGGTCAATGATTTCTTCTCCATGCTTTAGAAAAGACAACACTGACAGACATAAAAGCGAACGGACTTTGTGCTTATTGTTGGGCGCACACGAGATGACTACGGCTAGTGACTTTCTACGGCGCAGCTAAGCCTGTACAGCAGTCCCCGCTGTGTGGGGCTGTGCTCAAAAGCACGTATTTCTTCCTTTTGTCTACTTTTAAGAAAATCAGAAATAGTTTTAAAATAGTGTTCTACCCTTAGATTTCTACCATAGCAACCTTAAAGGGATGCTTTCCGTATTTGTGGACATGTATTCCTGGCTCTGGTCGTCAGTAGAATAGCCCCAGTGCTGGCCTGCCACAGGGCAGATATTCAGTAAATGGTTGTGAAACTGATGGATGAACACATTGGAATATATTAACTGTGGGACCGGAGATGTGTTTGAAAGGTGAATTTTTGTTGTAGAAAGCCCCTCTCCTCCAAACCTCGCGATCATTTCCATACCAAATGAATGAAAAAGAAATCTCAATTAGTAACTTCAGATTCAGACAATTTAACAAATGTAAAATATGCAGGACAGTGCAGGCAAGTTAAAGGCAACAAATCCTAGTTTTTCTCTTAATTCCTTTCAGCCAATATTTAAAGTTTTTAGTAAATTGTTATTAGGTCCAGTGACTTCTAGTCACAGACATAAAAGATATAATGCCATAGGCCTTTTCCTAGACCAATTCTCCTTAAAAATAAAGCACCACCATGACTGACATATTACAGAGCTCACTCCATTCCATAAGGCCCACCAGTGGGGCAAGGAGCAGAAGAGAACAGTAGGTGACTATCACAAAAACCACCTGCTTCCCAAATTCTAACAGACTGCAGAAAAACACACACATTGACACCCTCCCAACTCTGGAACTTTTACCATTTTGGAAACTATTATCAGGGACCTTATCCCAAGCACTATAATAGCCCTCTTCCACCCCAGCCCTACATCCTAATATATAAAGAGCCAGGGTCCGTCACGACCTAAACGTCCAGACGGACGACTGAACACCAGGCTAGGGTCCCGGCTGGCGCAGTGGAAGTCAGTTCTGGGTCCGCAGCAGGAGTCAGTCCTGGGGCCCGGCTGCCTGCAGTGTGGTGGTGAGAGGGAGTTGTGGGCCCCGGCTGCCCATGGCATGGCGACAATAGGGAGCTGTGGGAACCGAGCCATGCTGCAACTGGACTGGCCTCTTGGTCCCTCCCCCCTGCCCGCAGGCTTTGGGAACCAGAGCCATGCTGCAATCTGGGAGTCATGGTCCCTCCACCCACCTGCAGGCTCCGGGGAACCTGAACAGTGCAGGAAAATTAAAGGCGCCAAATCCTGGTTTTTCTCTTAATTCCCATCAGCCAATATTTAACGTTTTTAGTAAATTTAGCTGCGATCAGACTGGCCTCTTGGTCCCTCCCCCTGCCCAGGGTACCAGAGCCATGCTGTATGGGACTGGACCCTGCCCGAGGGGTCCCGGATTGTGAGAGCGTGCAGGATGGGCTGAGAGACCCCTCCCCACAAAGTGCACGAATTTTCATGCACCGGGCCTCTAGTCTAAAATAAAATAGTACATAACAGTGGTGTATTTTGTTTGTGGCAGCCAAGAGCTCAGGAAACCCCCTCAAGCCCTTCTGGGTAACTGGATGAGTCCATTGTATACTATGAGTCGGCACTTTTCTACATTTCTGGAAATTCCTTACCAGCAACATGACCTACAACACGAAGCCAACTTTCCATTTCAATGTACAACAGAAAGTATTCAAACACAATTCACTTAAACTGGAGAACTGCTGTTAATTTAACTGCTGTTTCATCCAAATAAGTAAAAATCTACAGAATGGCATTGGTTAAGAAAAAGGAATAAAGTACTTTATTTAAAAATACACAAACATACAAATTGTGATTTGGTAAACCAGTATAGTAAGTTTGAATAAAGGTACTCCAGTGGCTAAAAGGAAAACACAAATTAATTGAAAATGTAATTCAATTACTGCCCAACTTTTTGTTGCACACATTATTACAGAGTTGCACGCCTTTGGCAAAACCTCTGTTTATTATATTAAGAAGCTGCTAAGTTTTGTTTAGATTATTTGGCTTGGCCAGTAATGTAATATACAGAAATAACAATGGGAATGTAAGTATTTTGGGAAAAAGAACTTCATAGCAGATATTTCAATCTGCATATACCTTTAATTGAAATGTAACTTCCCCCTCAATTAATGGTTGACTAGCACCAAATACATTAACAGCTTAACAGAGATTTTAGGTTACAGAAGCGAATTTTTAGAAGATTAACAGACCTTAAAAACATCTATGAATTAAGTGTGCCTTTTCTTCATTTTACACTCAGAAAGCTGCTTTTCATAGTTGAAATGTCAGCTACAAGAAGTTGTTTTTCCATAATCCTTAAAGAGAGTTTCAGAATTTAAGTTCAGTAAAAAGACCAAAGAGCTCAGCTATTACAGTCATTAATCAATGCATTTAACATTCGTGCAGTATCAGAATGCAAGACATCTGATTCTAATTTCAATTCTGGCTCAGAATAAAAGTGCCTCCTCCACAATAGTCTGATTATAAACTGTTCTTTTCCTCCTCTCTTTTTTTCTTTTTTGGAAGCTGTTGTCCTTCACTCTTGCTGGAAGCCACCTGACCACTGCCAGGAAGAAGAATGCAAAACATTCCCAGGAGCGGCTGTGACGTCAGTACCACATTCCACTCTCCGCGGTCAGGACTGTGGGGAAACTCCAGCCTCTAGCGAACCCTTCAGATGAGATAACAGCTGAGCCTGCACTAAATCACACTGAGAACTTCCCAATGTTATGCTTTAAAGATGGATATTTTTTATAAAAAGGAGGGAGGGCAGGAACAGAGCTGGCTTTTTAAGGCATATTTACTGTTAATCTTCAAAAGTGCTTTTTTGTTTGCTATGTGGAGGGAAATCAAGGAAAAATGATTTACCAACAGTCATCAGCATACCAATCCCTTTGGGCCAGTGATTTTCAACCAGGGTGCTGCAAGAATTTTTAAAACATGGAATACCTGACTAGTCCGGGGCACTGAGCTCTTTGCCCTTAGATTTGTAAAATAAAACAATGACAACAGCCAACACAACAGCTGTCTGGTGTGAATGAGTCAAAATCACACCTATTTTTTGTCAAATTGGCAAAAAATACATTTTTTTGGTGTGCCCTAGAATTTTAGTAATTACTTTATGTGTGCCATGAGATGGAAAAGCTTGAAAATAGTTGCCTTAGGCATTAGTGTGTAAATAGGGTAAGATGAACAACAGATTAGTTTGGGCCTCAACCAGCAGAACTTGCTCAATTAAACAAACCCAACAACCCAGTCTCCAAACTCCTTTCCAGGAGAAAAAGACGAAAAGTCCCACTCAAGAAGGCACAGACACGTTCAGACAGCAGTAAAAGCCTTTTCTCTAAAGGGAAATATTGTAAAGAGATACAAACTAAACGGTACAAGTATTACAAAGAAAATACAAACGTTTATATGCATAATCCTGTTATATGCAACTTTCATTTGTAACTTTCTAGAGTCCTCAACAAGCATATTTAACATATATTTTGTACACTGTCTTTTGCATGTATCAAACACTTTCCCATGCTGATTATGATCATCTATACTTTATGAAACTCTAAAACTATAAAATGTTTCTTGGGGAGAAGGGAGGAGGGGGTCTCTTACAAAAATGTTTTAACGCACATAATTTTGTGTGTTTTTGATAAATAATATCCTTGGAATAAACTTGCAGGCATGGGTAACTAAACTGAGTATACAATTTCTTACAACTGCCAAATTTGCTGCATATTGCCATGTTGATTTCTAAAAAACATTGCTTAATTATAAGATAATTAGAGGCCCAGTGCAAGAAATTAGTGCACGGGGCAGGGGGTCCCTCAGCCTGGCCTGCACCCTCTCCAATCTGGGACCCCTAGGGGGATGTCCAACTGCCGGTTTAGGCCTGATCCCACTGGACATCCCTCTCACAATCCAGGACTGCTGGCTCCTAACCACTCACCTGCCTGCCTGCCTGATTACCCCTAACCGCTTCTGCCTACCAGCCTGATCACCCCCTAACCACTCCCCTGCTGGCCTGATTGGCGCCTAACTGCTCCCCTGCTGGCCTGATCGCCCGGACTGCCCTCCCTTGCTGGCCTGTTTGCCTCCAACTGCCCTCCCCTGCCGGCCTGATCTTGCCCTCAACTGCCCTACCCTGCTGGCCTGTTCGCCCCCAACTGCCCTCCCCTGCCAGCCATCTTGTGATGATGTTGCACGTGACACCACCTAGGCTTTTATTATATGGGATTATAAAGTTTCTAGGTATCTATTATACTGTAAACCTTGTCAGCATTCATATATGTGTATGTACAGATAAGTGCACACATAGTTGAAAAATAGTAATCTGTCAAAGATTCTTAAACTGATATTTTTCTGATTAAAAATGAGACTGAAAATTCCTTTGAGAGTTGTATTTTGGGCAATTTTTGAGGTAAGAGTTTTTAGAAAAAAATATTACAACCATAAGTAACAATTATAGTAGCTATTATAAAAAACCGACTTTACATTCATCCGAACAACAAAAATATTGTATTTGAGTTTCTTAAGATATGCTGCTATTAGGAACAATAACATGACTATAGTTGTCATTCCTGGATAGAGGCATGGCGTGTGTGCAGGGTTCACTGTATGTGTGCGCAGATACCTGTGCACAAATCTACATGCCACTCAGATACTATGTGGTGAAGGCGGAGCATAAGACGAATATGCTCTAGGCCTAGTTCTGCCTCTGGAGAAGTTAATTACCTTTTCTGAGTCTGTTGCCTCATCTGTAAGAATCTAGTCCTACTTCTCCCACAAGTTTATCTAAGAAGAAATAAGAAAACAGACACGAAAGTACTCTGGGTAGTTACTTGACTAGCTTCTGTTTCTTAGGTATTATTATAAACTAGAGGCCCGGTGCAAATTCGTGCACTCCGGGGGGAGGCGGTGGGTCCCTCAGCCGGGCCTGCACCCTCTCACAATGCAGGACCCCTTGGGGGATGTCTGACTGTCGGATATCCCTCTTACAATCTGGGAATGCTAACTCCTAACTGCTTGCCTGCCTGCCTACCTGATTGCCCCTAACCACTCTGCCTCATCAACCCTAACCACTCACCTGCCTGCCTCATCGCCTTTAACAGCTTCTGCTTGCCTGCCTCATCACCCCCAACCGCTCACCTGCCCACCTCATCACCCATAACCACTCTGCCTGCCTGTCTGATCACCCCTAACCACTCGCCTGCCTGCCTGATCACTCCTAACCATTCTGCCTGCCTGTCTGATTACCCCTAACCACTCACCTGCCTGCCGGATCACTCTTAACCACTCTGCCTGCCTGCCTGATCACTCCTAACTGCCTCTGCCTTGGGCCCCTGCTCGCTGAGGCTTCATCTGGAATGACGTCTGGAAGGTCGTTCAGCTGTCTGGTCTAATGAGCATATTATGCTTTTATTATTATAGATTACTAATAAATGTATCCAAATTATAAAATTTGGAATTTATCACAGTTGCCAAAATGTTTGTAAATGGCATTCTCCTAGGCCCTAAAACAAAGTAACTCAAATTTTCTGTCTGCTGCATGATATAATAATGCCTGGAATAGAAATAGAGTATCTAGATGGCAAAAATATCTCAGTGAAATACAGATGTTGAAATATAAAGACTTAGGGAGATTTACCATTTATCTTGCTTATCCAACTCTTAACATACCCCTAGGAAGTCATGGAGAGGAAGGTGAGTATTGTAGGTGCTGCCTTTGAAATGGGATGCTTTCAATGAGGATAAGCAAATGCTGAGGCAGCAGAGCTAAGTGTCCACAGGTAAGATAGGCATAGTGGACATAAGAAGGAGGACCAAAGTAATGGTTTGAACTATAGGAATTTTTGGTGGTAGATAATTAATGAGGGGTTTCTAGGCCCAAAGCAGCTGAGAAGACCAAGAAACTCCTATCTGATCTGTAGGTCAAGTGACAGGCCTTCTCTGATCAGCAATATCCAGGGCCTCTCTCCTAGGTCCCAGCCTGAGATAGGAAGCCGTCTTAAATCCCCTAATTGAGGGAGAGGTTGGGTTTTTAAGGAAGAAGCCTTCAATAATATCAATCTATAATAATAAAAGAGTAATATGCTAATTAGACTAGAAGTCCTTCTGGACGAAGCCGGGGCTGCGAGGGAAACCCGGGTCCGGGGTGCCTGCCAGCGGCCAGAGGGAAGCCCGGGTCCCGGGTGCCAGAGGGAAGCAAGTGCCCGCAGCCAGGGGAAGGAAGGCCTACTCTTGGACAATTTCATGCATTGGGTCCCTAGTAATCATGATCATGTAATTTAGCTCTTACTTCTACACTTTCCCAAAGGATCTGGATCTGCTTTTGAGGACAACTGTGCATTGGAGAAAGTGAAATAACCAAACCTTTCAGGATTTATTGGACATTGTCCCTGAACTAATGTTGATCCCCAAAGAGTAAATACCTCTGTGTTCGACCAGTCAAGTTGAAGGCTTTATGGGTGACAAACACAAATGGAGTTTGTCTTATGATTACCTGTCCAGATTCTGAGCTCATAAATGGAATATACATTCAGAAATAGGCAAAATTCCAAAATTTTCACTTTGATCCATGCAATAAGAACTACTGAGATTAGACGAGCTAAAAAGAGACTCCTAGGCTTTTCTTCCCTGCCAAAATAGCAAAGTAAAAGAAATACTGCATCTTTTGGGGGATCACAAAGATTAATGTCACCATCAGAAACTTTAAAGATGCAAGGTGGTGATTCCAATCATATCTCTTTTTGTGGGGCAAGCCTATAATTAAGGTCAATATTTGAGGTTGACAGTAGTATTCAGTATCACGGACTTAATTAGGGAGCAATTCCAGTTGCAGTTGTTGATACAGATGTGGATTCTACTAGATTTGGTGTGCAGCTACTGATTTGACGTGTGTGTGTGTGTGTGTGTGTGTGTGTGTGCGTGTGTGTGCATGTGTGTTTCTCTCTCAATAGAAAAGAAAACAGAAAGCTACTTGGCAGGGCAGCGGGATACGTTCACGCTGCATTAGTGCCCTGTCAACTCTGGTTACATGCTGTTACCAGTCTGCAGTAACCTTCATCATCTTAGAGTCCCACAGGACAAGATGGCATGAAGTAACAGGTTCCCTAGGATACCCTGGTAAGACATGTATGTGCCAGAGGGTAGATGATAAATACTGCTTAGATCTCACTGGACTTTGGAAGCAACACATGCCAATCTATTTTGTGTACTACGCCGGTCTATTTACTGAGTGGCCGATAAAGCTGTCAGTGTTACGTGAAGCTGAGAGAAAGCTCTCTGTGTGGTCCAGTATAAAATGCAAGCAACTGTATCCTTGGCCCTTGTGACTAATGGAAGCACCTATGCCTGACTGGGATACTTGGAACCAAAATAGAATAGTGGAAGGACCTAAGGTTTGGGGGCTAAGCCATGCTCTTATTCAGCACGGAACTATTGCTACTGGGTCATAGTGCAAAATGAACACCTGACTATTTTAGATAACCTCAAAACCTCCACCATGGGACACTAGATAGCCATGGAACCCATCATGAAGTGGCCACTGACTGATTCAACTGGTCACAAAGATGGACGTGTCCAGGAATACTATGTCCTCAAGTTAAACTTATACACGCAGCATAGTCAGGTGTGAAGAATACCTGAAATTAAGTAAACTTCAAAATGAGGAAGCTCAGACTCTTGCTTTACCTAT